AGGATTGCTGTAAGCTTTTCAAGCCAAATATGCTAGAAAAGTTCATTACTTTAACATCTTTGTGCCTTTCTTTGGTGTAAATGCAAATTCAGTCTTAAGAGAACTGGAAATCTGAGGAACAGTCCAACCCCAGGGCGTGCATCCTGCTGTATGTCCCTTTGCAGTAGGAAAGGTGAAAGGGTTCAGGAAAGTGAGTTAAATTATAACAATGAGTTAAAGTTTAGAGTTGTGTGATGGGAGTTTGTAACCATGGTGTTGAAACCCCTTAAATACATCGGAGTCCAGGGGGATTGGACTGATAGTGCTTAACACCCAGAAAGCCACTTCACCCTCCCAGGTGATGGGGAAAAACAGTTTATGAAGAATAGTGAGTTTTTCCTGAAACGAATTTTTACTGAGGAATATTCGACTGATTGAAATATACTTAACATGGTGTGTGTAGGTGCATTATCTGAAATCTAGCACAAGAGGCATGATTTTGGCAAAGGCAATACAACAGATGCTGCTGACAACCAAGTTGTATAACAGATTTCTCTCTTTGCTACCTAGGTCAGCTGTTTCTCACTGCAATTAAAGCTTAACTGAAATATTAAGGCATCAGCTTAGCATCAGAAAAAATATACACAGTTAAGGTATGATCTTATTTTTCCTGACATTGATATCTCCACTGAATTCATCATTTATTAAAGTTACACCTAACTTATGGATGAGGTTGGTTTGGGTTTCTTTAACCTTTATCATAGCAATTATATGTAATAGTTGCTAAATCAGAACCATTTCATTCATTTTTTATTTGTACATATATTTGGATGGAGTTTCTAAGGCCACAGTGTTGTTCAGTCTGTATTCAACTCAACAAAATGAGTTACAACAATTTTGCAAGAAATAAAAGGAGGATGAGTGAAGACTAATTTTGGAAAAAGAGTATTTTTCTGATGCCATGAAAATGTTTTGCAGCATATAAGGACTAACACCCCTCTGCAATATCCACATCTGTGAAAGAGGAAGAAGACGGGGAAGGTGGAAGGTTTTCCCTGTGTCCTGGGTTCAGCAGTAGCTTAAACCATGACACCCTGCAGTTTGGATACCTGAGTAGACTTCCAGTCCTAGGGGAGGGGGGGACGGGAAGCAAATCAAGTCTTTTTTAGGTTTTGTTTATTAGGGTTTTGCTAATGGGGGGTTTCTTTGAGAATGTATTTTTCTGTTATGGTTTGAATTGCAGAATTGTCCCAAGGCTTTATGTTTCCTCAAGCCAAATGACACATGCTTTTTCAATCCCTTCTCATTCCTGGAACTGACGCATGTAAAGGCAGTGCTGTAACTGTAACAATCTTCTTAAAGTGCATGGCAGTCTCCGACAGTATTTGTGTAATGCAAAATTAAGCCCTACATAAATGACATGGCAAGTAGATAAGCTATGCACAACACAAAAAATGTAAGCATAATGTCAAGGATGTGCATGTGTTTCAAGTGAATCTTTTTAAAATATTGCTTAGGAATAAAGATGTTTAAGTCCCTCTTTGCTGTTCTGCTGTTGCCTTTTGCTACAGAGATGTTGCATGTAAGTAACTGGTGACACTACATTAGTTTTGAGTAGCAACACCTGATGGCTGGTTACTGAATTACCACCTGGCACCTCTGCCACAGGGGATGGTGAGACCAGCTGTGGTCCTTCACGAGGAAGTTCTTGTCCTTGCCCTGCTATATCTCCACCTCCAGGTAGCCCTGCCTTGAGGTTTATGTGCTTTTCCTTGAAGAACACTTTCTAGCCCAGTTGTCTAAGAAGGCATGCACACATGCCTATCTGTCTCTGTTTACCCCCATGCTTAACTTTTAAACCCAATGAAGTTTCAGAGAAATCTGACAGAGGGGAAAAGCTCTCATCTGGATAAGCATCGCTACAGCCACCCCAGGCACCTACAGACACATTATCCCAATTTCTCATGTGTGATGTAATAGTGAGAAGGGCTGCAATGGCAACTCAGCTACATAAGCTTTTATTTGACTGCAAAAAGTTTGTATTAATTTTAGCTGTGTGATAAATAGGAGCTGTAGCAGGTTAAGACCTTTGTAGACTGACAAAAGGAAAGGGAGTGGGAATTATTTGAACAAAGGTGCATTTGGTAAACATTGTAAAGCCCCATCATTTGTACTTCACTAAGCTGGAACATGTTTTTATTTGGATGGTTAGATACTGGCTAATAAGAGTGTTTAGATAAGGTATCTGTGAGGTTGAAGTGTTTTGACACAAAGGCTATTTTAAAGCTATGTTTTAGGTCACTGTTAATGGTGGTGTATGTGCGGAATGACTAGTGAACTGCCAGTTTCTGTCAACTGTTTTTAGTCAGTTAAATACACATATTGTGGTGAAATATGTAGATTTGATGATCTGAGTTATAAAAAGTGTGTTTGAGGAGTAGCCATAGATCTCCCGAAAACTCATTTCACTTTACTTTGCCAAGCCAAGAAAGTTGCGACCCAGAAATGGATTAGAAAGTGCCACCAAGTTTTTGCTTTGGAAGGAGTTTTCTTTTGAGTAGCCGCAATAATGTGGATAGGCAACAACTTTATCTCTCAATTTCTGCTGAAGTAAACCTTTGGATTTTTTTGTAACAGTTTGATTATATCTCATCAGACTTGAACCCAATGATGCTAATCGAATCTCGTGCGATCTAACACAGCTGCTTACCCTAGAAATCACTAGAGAAAAAACCCTGGGAAAACCAGTTTTGCTCACAGATCTGCGTGGTCTGCGGAAAGCTTAACAATGAGGAGCCCTCCCAGGCTAGGAAAATAAATATACATACAATATCAATATTCATGTTATTAAATCAGCAACAGCAGAAGATGTATCCTGAAGGGCTAGGTGGTGTAGCTTTCCTATGAAGTACCTTCAGTAATAGGCTACTTATAAGAAGCGATTTCTGAAATTTATTGCAGCCTTGAACATGACATTTACTATAATTGAACTTACAGATGTAAATTATTGTAGCATGTATCATCTACACATCAGTAATGACCATTACCAATTAGGTACAAACAATTATTTCCAGCATTACTTACAAAGAGCAATTTTAAACTGTCCCTTTAAAAAGCTTCAGTAAAGACCAGGGGTTTTATCCTCAGGTAAAAATCCATTTATTTTCAGGTGCAATCTGACCTATTAATGAACCTTAGTTAAACTATAGCCACAGGCACTGATACAAATAGCTTTTTCCATTCTTAACACAAATACAGTTTCATAAATCAAAGCTACCATGCATTTCTGATTATTATTAAGAAAAAAGATTATTCAAATATATTCTTTGCCTGATTTCTGCCACCCACTCTGTCATACGCTAAGTTTTCATCACTCACTGTGGTAATTCGAGACTACTTCTCTCATACAGACTACAGCTCTCAAAGGCAGTTCGAACCTTGTGAGAATGTAAACTTTTCCCTTCCATTGATTCCTGACACAACCAGGGGTTCAGTTACTTAGAGCATGGGACCTGCTTTGAGAAGCCTGGTCTGTGGGAGCTGATGGGGGGATCTGTCAGAGAAGGGGAAGAGCATCTTCAGTCATAGACTTGCCAAACTGGTGAAGAGGGATTTAAAGTTACTGGGGTAGGGGAATCTCAATTCATCCCACTCCCTACCAGTTTGATGCCAGTGCTAGCAAGAGGTACGCAGAGCCTGGAAAGGGATCACTTGGTGGGTAAGGAATTGGCTGGATGGTTGCATCCAGGGGGTAGCGGTCAACAGCTCAAGAAATGTCCAAGTGGAGATCAGTGATGAGTGGTATTCCTCAGGGGCTGGTATTGGGACTGGCACTGTTTAGCATCTTTGTTAAGTGACATGGACAGAGAGATCAAGTGCACCCTCAGCAAGTTTGCTGATGACATCAAGCTGTGTGGTGCAGTTAACACACTAGAGAAAAAGGGATGCTATCCAGAGGGACCTGGGCACACTTGCGAGGAGGGTTTGTGCAAACCTGATGAAGTTCTACAAGGTTAAGTGCAAGGTCCTGCACGTGGGTCAGGGCAATTCCAAGCACAAATACAGGCTGGGTGAAGAATGCATTGAGAGTAGCTCTGAGGAGAAGGACTTGGTGGTGTTGGTTGACAAAAAGCTCAACATGAGCCAGAAGTGTGCACTTACAGCCCAGAAAGCCAACTGTATGCCAGGCTGCATCAATAGAAGCATGGCCAGCAGGTCAAGGGAGGTGATTCTGCCCCTCTGCTCTTGTTCTGATGAGAAGCCCCCCTGCAGTCCTATGTCCAGCTCTGGAGCCCCAACACAAGAGGGATGTGGAGCTGTTAGAGCGAGTCTAGATGAGGGCACAAAGTTGATCACAGGGCTAGAGGACCTCTGCTATGGAGACAGGCTGAGAGAGCTGGGCTTGTTCAGCCTGGAGAAGAGAAGGCTCCGGGGAGACCTTATAGTAGCATTTCAGTACCTAAAGGGGGTCTACAAAAAAGCTGGAGAGTGACTTTTTACAAGGCCATGTAGTGACAGGACAAAGAAAGAGGAGAGATTTAGATTAAGTGTTAGGAAGAAGTTCTTTACTGTGAGGGTGGTGAGACACTGGCACAGGTTGCCCAGAGAAGCTGTGGCTGCCCCATCCCTGGCAGTGTTTAAGGTCAGGTTGGATGGGGCTTTGGGCAACCTGGTCTAGTGGGAAGTGTCTGTGATCATGGCAGTTTCCCTTCCAACCCAAGTCATCCTGTGATTCTGATTAACAGCTTTTATCACTGTACACACACTAAAAGAAACCCACAACAAATTGCTCCTGTACATGTGTGTCTCTTGTTCCAGAGACAGCCTGCCCACAAGAAGAAAGATGTGTGTGGGCAGAGGGAGATAGCCCTCTGAGGGATGGAGCCAGCTGAAGCTCTTGCAACAGAAAGAGAAGTGTAGCAGGCAGTGAGGGAGTTACACTTCAGGATTGTATCTTATCAAGTATGTCAGTATATCCCCAGGATGGGCTTTTGTCTGGAGGGGGTGAGATAAGAAGTCTCTTACAGCTGTAACATTCTATTGATTTTTTTTTTAGGAGATAAAAGATGCTGATGCTCTTATAATACATGTTTCTGGTTTGTGTAAGGAAGAAGAAATAGAGCAAGAAATATCGTCTCACAAATTCACTGACCCTTTAGCATCTGAATCCATGTATAGCTCACATACAATCACCTAAAAATAACCAAAGGGAACCAAACAAAAAAAAAACCAACCCACCCTATGTACAGAGAGGTACATCTTGTACCTCTTTTAAAGAAATATTAAGTTTATTTTGGAGTTTCTTTCCAGAAAAGGCTCTAAGCATGCTTGAATGATAGTTGTTAAATGTTAAGAAATATGGGTAATCATTAAGAGAAGAAAGGAAATACACCAATGGGGCCTCAAAGTTCTTATCTGTATGCTTTTTTGCTTTCAAGAAAATAGCTAAAAATCATTGCATGCAAACATAATAAATAACCAAACATTTTAAGCTTAATGCTTAAGGAGTTGTGTTGTCATAGTGAAGCAGGACTAGAACAGATCTCAAGAGATGCTATGCCACTTCCCCAAGACAGGATTAACAATATCAGTGTCATTTCTGACAGACATTTAGCAATGTCATCTTCGAGACTTTTATTGAGAGATGTCATAACTTCTCTTGGCAATCTACTGCAGTGCTAATTATCTGCTTCTTAGAAAGTTTTTCTGAAGTCTTGCCTTGGTCTTCCTTACAGTTAAGCCCATTACCTCTCATCTTGCCACTTCTGGCCATGAAGAACAGATTGCAGTCATGGCCAGCTAACCATCAAGGACACATTCCAGTAAAAAGTAGGTTAGCAGAAGCATTTTTTCCCATAAGAATTAATGCAAGTGGAGAGGAGGGGGGTGAAATACATGCAGGAATTTAAGGACTACACACAGTTAAAATTCACGGGGAGAAGGATCACTGAGAGGAGAGTGATCAGCAACTGGCTTTTCAGCACTGTTCTGAAATATACCAACTATACCATCTACGAGACTGGAAGTTCAAGAAAACTCTTGAATTGTAAGCATTTTTTATGTCTCTTTCTGGACAGTTGCATCTTCATCTTCCTTAGATGAATCAAGGTCCATGAACTCAATTGTAGGCAAAGGCCAAAAAAATGGATTAATGATGGTCAGTAGCAGAACTCTTCAGTGGTGGACACGGAAGTGGAGGACAGTGAGGTGTTGCTGTACTCCCTTAATATTTGCTGAGCCCTTTCACACATACAGAAATGACCATCAATGTTCCCCAGTATTTTCTCTCCTGCAAGCCATTCAATGCCCATTTGTTCTGCTTTTTGTTGCTGTTCATGTCTACAAGTAGTGAAATGTGTTCAGAGAGATGATATGGACAGTTTTTGTTTTGTGGACCAGCTCGCTTTCTGGAAGGATTAGCTGCCTGAGCTAGCAGGAGAAAGGAAGGATTGAAGCTGCCTCAGCTGATAGTTTAAATTTCTCTGGAGTTATAGTGTTAGTTCTCAAGCACCATCCCACTATACTACATTTTCTAACATTTGAGGATGAGGAAGATCCTAGGTCAATATCATTAAGCTGGAATACCAAAGCTGGGTACCTGAAATTGTGTTTGGTGTCTTAACATTAAATCAACTTAATTTCCCAGGGTTTTGGGCAGTCTTTTGACTCACCATAAGATAGTGATGTTTTAATAGAGTAGATTCTATTTAAGAGCCTAAACACAGATTCAATTTGTAAATCCACAAGGCTTTGAAATAAACACACAGAAATGAAACCAAACACAAACCTTTAAGATCAGAACTATGCACATCGTATGATGTGAAACAGGGAGGCAGAGAATGGGATTTTAACTAAATCTAAGATTAATTTATCTATTATAGTCTCAAACTATGAGTTGTTTTCATTTTGATCTAATTACCTCACTATTCTTAATAAATATCAGAAGTTTGATTGAAGAGTGAGGGTAAACAAATGCATGGGAAATGTCTTCTGACTGCAAAAGAGTAAAGGGTGAAGATGGCCATGGGAAGAGGTTAATATGTGTCTGCTAGATCCTTTTGGAATGGACTTCATATTCCCATCACCCCTCTGCGGTAAGAGCAACAGGTTTCCATTGCTTTGGGATGGGATTTTTTTTTTGCTGTGGGATGGTTGTAACTTACGTGGAGTCAGAGTGAGCTCTCCCTGTGGGATGGCTCTGTGTGTGAGGAACACGTAATCTCTTACCCCTCTGGAACAGAGTGATGGGGTCCCTGACACTGACCAAGCCCTGTACAGTGGGTAATAGTTTCCAGAGATAGCTCTGCTTTGCAATCCAACTGCAAAACAGCTGGCACCTGACAACTCTTGGGGCTGCTGCCAGGGGCAGGCTGTGACTGGGAGGTCACAGGCCCCTTCTCCATAGAAAACTCCTCACTGCTGTCCTCTCCCTGAAGGTTTATGGCGTGGGGTGTGGGCTGCACCCAGGCAGTGATGGCAGGAGGGGGTACTGATGACGAGGCAGGTCCTCCCTTCTGGCAGGTGGTGTCATGGTGATAGGAAACCAGCTCATTGCTGAAGTTGACCCTCTCCACAGTGGATCCAGGTGTGCCACAGCAGAAGCACCGGCAGCCTAGGAGATTGCTGAAAGCCCGCCTGAAGTCTGCATTGAAAGCATAGATCACTGGGTTCACTGAGGAGTTGGCCCAGCCAAACCACACAAAGACATTGAAGGTGGTTTGGCCAACACATGGTAACTGTCCTTCATGGTCTCTCTTGAGCTCAGGTTGGCAGAAAGGCAGCAGGCAATTGAGCAGAAAGAAGGGCAGCCAGCAGCAAACGAAGACTCCCATTATGATTGAGACAGTCTGCAGCACCTTGGTCTCCTTGCGCAGGGAACTCCGCAGGGAGGAGGTCGGCTCCTTGCCATGAGCTGGCCATTGCCCCCCTGCTCTCTCGAGGGTAGAGATACGGCGGATCTGGGCCTGGGCAATTCGATAGATCCTGGTATAGGTGATGATCATGATGGCCACGGGAATATAGAAGCTGATAAGTGAAGAGGTGATGGCATAAGTACGATTCAGGCTGACATCACAGCGGGGTGTCCCAGGCAGCCAGGAGCCTGGATATCTTCCCTCTTTGGCTTTATGCCAGTGTAGCTGCACTGGGATGAAGGAGATGAGGATGGAGAGAGCCCAGGCTGTGGCTATCATGGCACAGGCAAGGCCCTGTGTCATCCTGCGCTCATAGCGAAAGGGACTGGCAATGGCCCAGTACCTGTCCAGACTGATGATGCAGAGGTGGAGGATGGAGGCAGTGGAGCACATGATGTCGAAGGCCACCCAGGTGTCACAAAAGCGGCTGCCAAAGAGCCAGGAGCCGTCAGCCACTTCAGTGACTGCCTTCCAGGGCATCACCAGGAGGGCCACGCAGAGGTCCGAAACGGCCAGCGACAGCACGAACCAGTTGGTGACCTTGGCACGCAGGTGTCGGAAGCGCAGCACGGCCAGGCACACCAGCGCGTTGCCCACCAGCGTGCTCAGCACCAGGGCGCCCAGGAGGCACCCGGTGAGGACCTGCAGCGCCTGCGGGCCGCCCCCCTCTGCCGCGTTCCCCATCAGGGGCGCTCCTCCTGTCGCTGCCGCCGGCGCAACGCTCCCCGAGGGGCCGGCGGGACCCCTGGCAGCCGGCGCCGGTCCGTGGTTGGGAGGGCGCCCGCCCGCGGGGGCATCTCCGTCCGCCGCCGCCTGCCTCAGTTCCCCCCGCGAGGGAGGCGGGCTGCCCCGGGTCTACTCACCGCGCCGGTGCGGGGCCGCCCGCCCTCGCCTCGCAGCGGCTCCTTCCGAGGAAGGGACCCTCCCGCTGCGGCGGCAGCGCGGGGCGGGCGGGGGGCGGCGGCGTGCCCGGGGTCCCGCGGCTCTCTGTCCGCAGCGCCGGGATGGACGAGCAGCAACTTTCCGCGTGCCGCGCGCCCAGAGGGAGCAGAGAGGCGAGCCGGCGTTCCGATGGAGCTGGCTGCCGGGGGAGAGTGGCGTGGAAAGGCTCGAGCGACCTTCGTAATGGCACGGAGGGAGACTTCCCTGAGCATCACCCTGGGAAGAGCCTTTTTCTTCTTCAGTGTGCAGGTGCCGAAGGGTTAGGGACGAGCATCTGGCGCTTTCCAAGAATCTCCTTTTGGAGACCACGACCGTATTTCAGGTTTCTTAAAGAGCAGGATAGCGCTTTGCGTCTGCTTACATTGAGAATGATACCAAATCTGGGTATTAGAAGCTGTGTTTTTCACCAAAACAGTATTTTGCTATTTTGGGGGGGTTTTACCAAAACAGTAGAAACCTAACACATCTATAGTTCTGCATTTTAGCAGAAGGTTGTTCATGCATTTCCTCAGACACAAGCGCCCAAAACCTGCCCCTTTATTTTCAGCTAGAGGTGTTTCTGGATGTATTTCAACAGTCTTCTATTTGCTGTTATAATAATATGTGTGTTGTCATATACATGCCTTGCATATATTTGCAACCTGCTTTCAAAAAATTATCCTAATGCAAATAGGTTACAAGCCTTTATTTTGGAAGAATTTATCCAGTAATCCTGTCATGAGAAAAAAGATTGGGATCTGAATAGAAAATATCAGCTCATATCATTAATTAAGACACCAAATGGGTACTTGGTTTTAGATGAGGTATTTTATATTTTCTTTTTGCCTCCTAATTAAAACTACTGTTACAATATTCTTGGTAATTAGAATAGAGACTGGAAATCTTTAAAACAAATTTTGAACAGCAGAGCCAGCAGCTCAGCCTGTAAAACTCAGCATATTTACAGAAAAACTAACTGGGTTTTTCACGTTCATAACAGATTGTTAACATTTGGTCATGTTTTTTAAGATTCTAGTTGCTTCGTGCCTTGGAGACCACAGTCTTCATAATGCAGCCCACTGTGTTATTCCTGCTGTGACACTGAAAATTGGAATATGTTTCTTGTTCATGAGTTTGTCTATAAGCCTAACAATTCAAACAATTCATCTAGAATCTTCTCTAAGATAATATATATACTTTGTTCAAAGAGTAGTAGCTGATCAAATAGCATAGGCTGTAAGATAACAGCCAGCTCCACACCTTGACTTATTTAGAATCGTTTGTAGTTCCACATACATGGATTTTGCCAACATCTGCAAACCATAGTAGGTCTCTGATTGCCGTTCCAATACTAAGGACTAAATCTTAGTTTGCAAGGATTATTTACACACTTGCTAATCTGACTCAATAAATTTACTTTCATTCAACAATCGATCAAATATCCCTGAAGAGCAGAATATAGTTGTGAAGAATTGTAAGGGACAGTACATGGAATTAAGGCAATATAGTATTGAGAAGGAAAGAGCAATGCTTTTGCATATTCAGCAGATAGTAGTGCTTCAGGGCTCTGCAGTGGAAGAGAGCTAGTATTATTCTTATAAAAACAACTGTTTTCAGTGTCTCTGCGTACCTCCAGTTCCCAGGATCTCATTATACTCTATAAATAGCTCCTTTTCAGCATGCATTATAAAGGGGAGCATACGTGATCATGCTGGTTTGTGTGCATATTTTTTATGCAAATGCCCTACCTCAAATTTTTATGTCTGTTGGCTGAAGTAAAATCTGTCTGAGAGGTAGATATCTTAAAAAATTAATTTCCTACAGTTGTAATTAAAGTAGGCATCTGCGTAGAAGTCAGAAGCCCTACTCATATCCTCACTGACAGGAAGGTTGCAATGCACACTCAATCCTTATTAAACACAACAGAATACACACATCGTGAATGCTCTTCTCCTAAAGAAAACATCAACAGCCACATTCATCTTCTTAGATACAAGAGGATCCAAATGCAAGATGCAAATGCTTAAGAAACTATACAGTGAGTCAGTGGCAAAGACAGGAATAGAAGCATTTCCCTGCTCTTATTCCTATATTGGGCATGGTGGAGTGAAGTGTAAGCTTACTGGAGAGGGAGGAGAGACATGGGGAAAAACACAAGTCTGTGTGAAAACCAGTGTATGCAGTGAACTGAAAATGCTTTGATTTTAAGGTACATAGCTGTTTCTTGAATTAATCTTACTCAGGATTGAACAGGAAAGGTCTGAGTGACCTCTTGTGACTCCAGAAAACTGCAAGCTCATTCCACTAGTGAAAAAATAAACTTACCCAGAGAATATACATAAAACATACTGCAATGTATATAATGTCTTGATATTGTACAGTTTTAAACAGTCACTGTATTCAAAATCTCTCTCTCCCCATGAAGAGAAAGAAGGAGGCCTAAATAGACAGACCTATATAAGAAATTAAAATGTTTCCTTCTCCCTCCCCTTTCCTACTCCTTATCTTACTTCCTCCTTGTAAAACTATCTCATCCTAGACTCAGTGCTCACATATTTATAGCATGTTATGAATAAGAGAAGATCTGATTCAGAACATAAAATTAAGCCTTTAATGGTTTTCTATGATCGCATTCGGAGCTCATGCCTCTGCCTAGGTCTCTGACGCACTGGCTGAGCAACTGAAACAGGTTAAAACTCAGTGCTCAACAGTACGGTATTTCAACCCAAACCTCAAGGTGCCTCCTGGAAGGGCACCACAATTCTCATGTCCTGTGCTGTCATGCTGGAGTTGGCTGAGGAGAAAGAGCCTCCAGCAGGTTAATGGCAGGGTCCACACTGTGCTTGCAGCTGTGTGCAGACTAATGACAAGTCTCACTGACACTACGTGGTCTCATAAAGAGGATGACTGTAGATTTCAGCCACATTTGTTCAATGCAAATCATTACTGTTTTGTCAAACAAATGTAATACCAGCAGCAGTTAATTAAATAGTTCATTTAATTTTGAAATCTTGTTCAAATGGGGGAGCACTATTATAACCAAGTTCAAGAACTGATATAATTTTATGGAATGAGATCATACTGTGTAAAGATGTGTTGAGGTACTGGTAAAATGATGCTTTGAACAAGCTGCCTTCCTTGCAGTCTGAAAAACCATTGCCAGTATGTGAATCAAACTAAATTGGGGTTTGTGATTGCCTTTACAGCTACTTTTGGGGGCTGATTTTAAATGTATTGGAACAAAATGTCATTGAAGGCGATAACATTACATCTGAAGCCAATATGATTACCCGTTTATCCATTTCTGTATAGCTAAGGAATCTAACCAATTTTGTACATATGTGTGTGTGTACACTTATCATCTTGAATTTATATATTAATGCTTTCAATGCCTTGTGAGTTTTGTGAGCTTGATCATAGACTGCTAATCAATTTGTACAGTGAATCCAGCATTTACTTAAAAATGAATGTTCTTTTTATTACAGAGATATGGATTTGCTGTATGAGTGAATTGGAAGCCACTAAATAATTAATTGTTTCAAAAACTATCTAGGAAAGTTAAAGAAAGAATAACTAAATCAACAGCTAAGTATCAAAAGCATGTTTAGTGTGTTCAGGCTTAACAGAAATAATTTGAATTTGTGATGTCCAGTACAGAGTCCACTGTAGCTCTTCACATCATTTGAAGTTAATGTTCTTACTATGATTTTACTATGAGTTGCTTAGTAAATCAACTCCTGATTTTGGAATACCTTTAGAATTAAATAAGGGAGAACAAAAGTGATGTAATATCTAACTAAATTACTTTTCTGTAAAAAATGCCTGGCTTCTCTCCCATTATAAAGGCCAGAGTTGTCAAATTCACTTTTTGGAAAGGCCTTCCAAGCATCACTATATGATAGCTTATGAATACCAGTCTGTGGGAAAGCTGTGACACTTTCATATGATGCAATTTGGAAGACAGTCCCTATTTGCAATTGGGATTTCCTTGTAAAGACATTAGGAGTACATGAACTACAGATAAATGGCTTTTTTGCAATACTTGCTGGTATCACAGTACAATGGGTACCCAGCAGTGAAGATACTACCTCTTGCGTATTTGGAGCACTAAGCAGCTAAACAGATTTCCTTAAGAGATAGAGAGGTTTCATATTTTATTTTATCAATCTGTCATGAAGGATAATATTTAAGGAATTTTAAATGTTAAAGAACAATTGACATAAATTCTATTTTCTTGTTATTTTGGCAAAATCAAGATAGTATTTTATACCAGCTCAGCAAGAGGTAATGGCTCTTTGCAGAAACTTTGCCAATGAGATCCTTTCCTACCATAATCAGTAACGTAGTTTATTGTAGTGTGGTTGACATATTGATGGGGTGCAGGGTCTCTGCTTCATGTGTGTATTTGGTTTATATAATCTAAACAGAGTGCTTCTGTGTTCTAGTGACTGCCTCACTCAAGCTTTGCCTGAATTGAGCTGTAGGTGTGTGCTGCAGCATGCTCCAACACCATCATCCAAACTGGGAATGTCATTAGAGTATGGCTCTCTTCCTGCTGTTGTACCCGAGTTTCCTTCCTGTGGCTGCCAGCATGCTCAGGGAGTGGCAGGATTAGCACACACTGGAGTCTCCCGCTGCAACTCATTCAGGCCATATTTAGGCTGCATACACAAGAGTATTTGGACCTAAAAGTTTGGGTGTTTTCAGTTTCCTCAGCATAGAGATCATGGGTGTTAATTAAGGACCTGATACCGGCTTCTAGCAAATACTGAGGCATTTGGATGAGACTACACTGAGCTATCCTGTTCAATCCAATGTCTTGAGTAAATCCCTTATCGAGTGACTGAAGACAGCACTGTAGAGTTCTAATTTAAACACAAGTGCACTATATTGACCTGTCAGGTCTCACACAAAAGCTGCATGTTTTTGCTAATGGCCTAACCACTTCATCTGTAAGTGCTTTCAGAGTTCTTGGGTATGCCACCTGGACATGATGACCCTTAGGCTTTTAAAATGAAAGGATTGCTCAGATTTATCTTATAGCTACTCTTCAGACTGAGAGAATGCTTCATTTTCACTACTAAAGATTAGGTCAAGGGTAGT